CAGGGCTGCAGTGAGTTATGGTTGCACCACTACACTACAGCCTGGATGACCAGAGTAAGACTCTGTCTCTAAAATTAAAAAAACAAAAAACAAAAAAAAACCTGTTATTTAGAATGACTACCCAAGGGGCATACTTTTCAAACCTTGTAAGCCCTAACTTAGGACCTGTTTACACCATAAGAAGGCAATTTATTTGGCCCACATTAGACAAGCCCCTTAAAAAATAACCATCACTAGGCCAGACGCAGTGGTTCACACCTGTAATCCCAGCACTTTGGGAGGCCAAGGCGGGCAGATCATTTGCGATTGGGAGTTCGAGATCAGGATTTCTAGAAACGCTGTCTCTACTGAAAATACAAAGATTAGATGGGCATGGTGGCACCCACCTGTAATCCCAGCTACTAGGAAGGCTGAGGTAGGAGAATCGCTTGAACCTTGGAGGCGGAGGTTGCAGTGAGCTGAGATCACCCCACTGCACTTCAGCCTGGGTGACAGAGCAAAACTCTGTCTCAAAACAAACAAACAAAAAACATTACTAGGTTGCTTTCTATGTCCTTGGCTTTCATTAGCCATAACAGAAAGTATACATATGAATTTTCCTTTTGTATTTGTTATTAAAATCTTCCTAATTGCTTTATTAAATCATTCACTGTTTCCTAATAAAATCATATCAGAAACTACCTTTAGAGTTTGTTATACAAGACAAAAAAAAATCTATGATGTCTCTTCTGATTTACTCATTCCTTTCAGATGACAAAATCTATTCAACATGGACTGTGTTTTCATTTTTTCCCTAGCATTCAGGAAGCTGAGAACTACCTACCTTCCTTCATTCCTTCCTTCCTTCCTTTCTCTTTCTACTTTTTTTTTTTTTTTTTTTTTGAGACAGGATCTCACTCTGTCTCCCAAGTTGGAGTACAGTGGCACAATCTCAAGGTGGGGAGTCCAAGTGATTCTCCCCCCTAAACCTCCCCCGTAGCTGTGATTACAGGTGTGCACCACCATGCCCGGCTAGTTTTTGCATTTTTAGTAGAGACAGGGTTTCACCGTGTTGTCCAGGCTGGTCTCAAACTCCTAGCTTCAAGTGATCCACCTGCCTCAGCCGCCAAAGTGTTGGGATTACAGGCGTCAGCCACCATGCCCAGACTAGAACTACATTTCAAATTCAGTGACAGTCATGTTTAATTCCAGGATAATTGTGATCTCCTTTTTCTCTGGCCCTAATATTCTATTTCTAGTTTTCTAGCCTATTGTAAACCCTCTTTATGCTCTTATGGACAAGAGAGGAGATAACATTTGGTATGCTGATTTTAGAATTATTTCTGCAGTTTTACAAAGATAAATGCAAAAATACATGCCCTATGTTATGATATTTAAAGAATTTGTAGAGATTACTCCGGGCACACTGCTTATGGGGTAGCCCTGTTCCACAAGGAGAAGGGGAAAAAAAAAAAGAATTTGTAGTAACTGAAGAGGACCCAGAGAAAAGCAATAGAAAAAAGAACAATGAATGGAGACTGAGGTAGTATGCCCATACTCTCCAACCCAAATATTGTAGCACATTGATCTATTGTAGCGCATATTAGCGCATTATATGCGCTAATAGAAGTGAATATCTGAAATTCGGACTGTTCTGAAAAATCCTGGAGATACGTTGAAGACAGATCCCAGGAATCATGGTCATTATTCAATATATAATAGATATGAAAAGTTACAGAAAGGCTTTAACCTTTCTTGGATCACAGACCCCTTTGATGATCTGTTGAAAACATCGGAACTGCTCCCCAGAAAAATACAGGCGCGTGGAGTTTCAGAAAGCAGAACCCTCCTATTATCTATTTATTTTTCCAGAATATCAAAAGCACTTTCCGGCTTTTATTGTTGTGAAGAGTTCAGAAAGACGAGGAAGAACCTGAGCTGCCAAGTCAGATGGGAAGGATGGCAAATCAGCTACCAGTTGAAGTTCTTAACACTCTGAAGCCATTCTTAAGACGGTTTAAGCCAGTAGGTGCTGTGTGTCTCTGTGTGTGTGTGTCTGTGTGTGTTCTCAACTTTTTAAAGTAACAGATCCCTTTGAGGAGCTGCTTAAGGGATGGGTCAGCTATCTCAAAAATACTCCCGCAAACACCCCCACCCTCGCTCCCACCCCACAAATCTGCAAATAATTTCATGGGGTTCATGGACTTCCTAAAGCCCATCCTCTGATACTTGATGTAAGTGCAGACTTCCCAGGGCACAGCGCAATGCCCTTGATGACCTTTAACAATCACCCTCTTTTATCATGGGGACAAGGGCGGCCTAGAAGGAGGCTCTTGGTATCATCAGACCCCCATGGACCCTCATCAGGCCCCTTCAAGCTTCCCCTCCCCCACGCCTGCGCAGCGCAGGTGCGAAAACCTTAGGGGCCACCCGGGCGCGACGGCCCCAGAGCTGGTGGGGGGAGGACTGGGACCCTGGGAGGGGTGGGGGTGGGGGTGGGGGCCTTCCCGGTGTTGCTTGGTGACCACGCTCTCCGCCCAGACCGTTCCATTTCCTCAGCAGGGGGCGCCGCGGGCCCGGCCGGCGCTGACCAGCCTCGCAGAGCCGCCCTCTTCCGGCCTGCCCCCCTCTGCCGGGCGGTGGCGAGCGCCCGTGACGTCACAGAAGGCGGGGCCAGCGTTGCTGCCGGGTGCTGGAGGCGCCATTGGAGCCGGCTTGGCTGGCGAGCCCCGCTGAGGAGCCGGATCTTGGGCCGCACTTACGCCGCGTCCGCTCCCGGTCCCTGGCCCCTCAGCGGCCGGGTGAGCGGGGCGACGCTGCAGCGGCCCACGGAGTTCGGGAAGGCGCTACAGAGTCCCGGTTTCCCCGAAGCGGCGGCGTGGCGCCCTTCTGCCCGGCCCCACTCCCGGCCTCAGGCACTGGGACGCCAAGCCGCCGTCGCCGCCGCGGCTTCAGATGCAGACCCCACCGCCAAGTCTGCAGCAGCCCGCCCCACCCAGCAGCGAGCGGCGCCTTCCAACTCCGGGTAACCTGCGCTGCTGCGGGTTTGGCAGGAAGCCAGGCCCAGGCATTTTGGGGGGGGGCGGGGGCGAGAGGGTTGGGAATACCAAGCCAGTTTACCCACGGATCCTTCTTTGCCTTGAGAAGAGGGAACTGGGATGCCGCTGGGCCTGGTTGCTTCCGGGGATGGGAGACATCCGGGAGGGGTAGTGGGGCCACAGAGTTGGTTTTCGGTTTTCCTGGAGAAGGAGAGCCTGGAGGGGTGGACACCAAGAGGAAAATGGGAATACCCCTGGCCGCTCAGGGCCTTCCCTGTCGCTGAAGCCCCTCCTGCCTCCGCTGCCCGGGCCTGTACCGACCCACCCTGCAGATCCAGTGGGCCATGGAAAATGGGATTCTACTCACGAACCTGGCCTGGAGGGTGGTGCGGGGGTGGTGGCGGGTTACCGGGAAGGGGCTCGAGTGCGTGCTGTTCAGCGCCTGACGGTAGCTTGTAGGGAGACTTGATTTCCAGAAGTCTTTAGGGACTAAGAGGCCACCGCCAGAGTCGAGAGTCGCGGAATCCGATTTCAACCTGATCATTTCTAGAGGACTGGCCACGTTCTTTTATCATATTGCTATTGCCTTGTACCATATATGGCTTGAAATCGGTAGGTCATTGGCTAGAATTTGAGAATTCTACGACGTCCGTAGGTTCTACAGAACTAAGAATGTAACTGTCCTTAACAGAGGGACTGTCCTTCAGTAAGGAATTCCACTTTGTCCAAGAAAAAGGAAGGACTGGCGTTACAGTGGACACCTCATCACAGCGCAGCAGTAGAGGGGAGGAAGGGTGCCTCAGCATTAATATTCTGCGATTTTAAAGGACTTCCGGAAATGGGGGGGGCGTCTCAATAATGGATTTGGTCAAGTCATTTCTTTGTGTGTTTTTCTATTCCTCAAGCTTAAGCAAAACCTTGGGCTCACCGAAAAATTATTTTTCTTCACCCTTTTTCAGTTAGCAGTGCCTTCAGGTTTCATTTCCTCCTTCCTCTGCGTATTGATCCACAATGCAAATTTCTGGCCTTCATCCTCACACCAAGATTCCTGCAGCCAGCCAGAGCTCTCCCAGACTTTGTATTCTTAACTCGAGTTCACCTTTTTATCCTAGAATTCAAAGGACTTATCAACTGTGATCATATCTTAACCTAGTCAGTCTCATACATTTTTTTCAAACTGTGCCTTTGCCCTTTCCCCGAGACCCAACTCTCTGTGCCTTTATCATGATGTTTTTCCTTTCTATTTGCTAATCCCAATAGAGTAATTTCTTCAAGTCTCTTATCCGTTACCTGAGGAACCTGCCCATAAAAACCTGTATTCTAGGCCGGGCGCGGTGGCTCAAGCCTGTAATCCCAGCACTTTGGGAGGCCGAGGCGGGTGGATCACGAGGTCAAGAGATCGAGACCATCCTGGTCAACACGGTGAAACCCCGTCTCTACTAAAAATACAAAAAATTAGCTGGGCATGGTGGCGCGTGCCTGTAATCCCAGCTACTCAGGAGGCTGAGGCAGGAGAATTGCCTGAACCCAGGAGGCGGAGGTTGCGGTGAGCCGAAATCGCGCCATTGCACTCCAGCCTGGGTAACAAGAGCGAAACTCCGTCCCCCAAAAAACTAAAACAAAAACAAAAAAACCTGTATTCTACTTTAAATTCCCTGGCCACTCAATGTTGTATAACCTTATGTACAGAATGAGATAATGTTTGCAAAAGTCGTTTTTAAAGAGCCCTCAAAAGCAAGTGCCATAGATGGCCGCTTCCAGTGATGGTTTGTTCTTCCCTGGCTCCTGCAAAAGATAGTCTCAATCTTTTTGGGTCCCACTTCTGCAAATTGGAGTTAATACTTGCCCTATCTTTTGTTGAGGAACCCTCGAGATAGTTATAAAAAGTATTTTGAATAGTGTAAAGTGATAGGTTTAATGTAAATGTTTTATTTCTTAAGTACCCTCTAGGCTAGTTCGTTTGCAATTCATATTACAACAGCTGCTTAATAAGTGGTTTTTGGTGGCTCATGCCTATAATCCCAGCACTTTGGGAGGCCAAGACAGGTGGATCACTTGAGGTCAAGAGGTCAAGACCATCCTGGCCAACATGTTGAAACCCAGTCTCTACTAAAAATACAAAAATTAGCTGAGTGTGGTGGACTCAGCTGAGCTGGGACACCTGTAATCCCAGCTACTAGGGAGACTGAAGCAGGCGAATTACTTTATATTTTAACCTGGGAGGTGGAGGTTGCAGTGAGCCAAGATCAAGTAATTGTATGCCAGCGTGGGCAACAAAAAAATAAAAAAGAATGTGGTGAGCCAGTCATGGTGGCTCACACCTGCCATCCCAGCACTTTGGGAGGCTGAGGCAGGAGGATTGCTTGAGCCCAGGAGTTTTGAGACAAGTTTGGGCAACATAGTGAGACCCTGTTTACACAAAAGAATTCTAAAAAATTAGCTGGACAATTTTTCTGAAATCTGAAATGCTGCAAAGTCTGAACTGTTCCAAAAATTGAGTGGTAATATGACACTCAAAGGAAATACTTATTCATTGGAGCATTTCTGATTTAGAGTAAGGGACATTCAGTTGGTAAGTATACTGCAACTATTCCACAATCCAAAACGTCTGTCTCAAGCATTTCAGATGAGGTATGCTCATTTTGAATAGTAGTTTTTGTGGAAAGGTTCTGTAAAACTAAGCCATTTATTGCTTAAATCTTTATTGAGTGCTAGGTGGATACCAGGCATCCAGGCACGGAAGAAGGGGGTTGATAATTGCAGGAAATATTTGTAAACATAATGTGCAAAGCAGTTAACTGATTATGACTTCAGAGTCTGGGAGTAACTTCTGGTTTGAGGTAGCATTTTAGCTGAGTCTGGGTTTTTTCGTTTTGAGACAGAGTTACTCTGTTGCCCAGGCTGGAGTGTGGTGGTGTGATCTTGGCTCACTGTAACCTCCATCTCCCAGGTTCGAGCGATTCTTCTGCTTCAGCCTCCCCACTAGCTGGGATTACAGGTGTGCACTACCATGCTCGGCTATTTTTTTTTTTTTTTTAATAGATG